GTTGCAAAAAAGTCTTTCTGTGGGGTAAAAAAAATACGCTTTTGTTTCTTTCAGGGCTTTTTTCGGGAGGGGCTCTTTGCACTTTGAGGATGGCTGCGTGCAACTCTGCAATCCTGCATTTAAATCAGTGCTGAGACAAGGAAAAAACAAATTTATTTTGATTTTGGATGGGTTTTTCCTTTGTTCCTACCCCTGCCTCAGAGCAGGACGGTCTCAGTAAAGGGCTCCTGAGTGAGGTGGCCCCGATTCCTGCTGAGAATTCCCTGCTTGGGGCACCCCAGGGGTATTTTGGGTCTGAATGTTTCGTGTTTGGGGCTGGGCACGAAACAGCTTTTTCCGCCTCCTCTTATACCTCGGGGCAAAATCCTTGGGAACAGGCAGAAAGAATTAAGGAAAAATGTGTGTCCCAAACGCCCAGCTGGGACACAGGCACGGATTGGGGACAGGGATGGGGACACCAGGGTGGCAAATGTCCCGCTGGGAAGGGAAAAGGGAATGAGCAGAGCTGAACCCAGGGAGGTTTTGGTTCTGGAGATGGGTTTGTGTCCACCATCCTCATGAGGAGGAGGAGGAGGAGAAGGAGGAGAAGGAGGAGAAGGAGGAGGAGGAGGACAAGGAGGACAAGGAGAAGGAGGACAAGGAGGACAAGGAGGAGAAGGAGGGAGCCTCTCCTGCTTCCTGCTGTCCCTGCTCCCCCTCTCTGAAGGATCACCTCACCAAGTAAAAAACTCTTGTTTTTCCCTCCAGTTTTCTGCTAATTCCTCTAAAAAATGATTACCAGGGCAGACAGAGGCCTCTTCTCTCTGCGAACTACCTGTGGCTATTTCGGGGCCTTGCTTTGCCATGTCCCCATCCCTGCTGGCTGGGAGGAGCTGTGGTGGCACCCAGCCCATCTCTGGAGATGCCAGGGAACAAAATTCTGGGAAAAAGCTCCGTGTCCAGCTGGGGAACAGCACCAACCCCACCTGAGCTGCCCAGCACACGCTGACCACCCCGGTGCCTCAGTTTCCCCGTTTATTCCCCAGCCCGGGGGGACCCAAATGAGCCAACGTGGTTTGTAAAACTTGGGAAAGGGAATGGAGGGAGAATTCCCAGGCTCGGCGCTGCGTGACAGAGCCGCTGGCCCCGGCCCAAGCCACCAGGGCTGTGCTCCTGAGTGTCACAGGGACACACACCCGGCCACTCATCCCTCCCTGAAATCACGGAGAGGGAGCGGGGAGAGGTGGGAGCAGGGGTTTGGGATGGGACAGCACAGAGCTGCTCCCTGGGGAGGGGCAGGGATGGGATGAAGGCTCTGGAGCCGGGGCAGTGGGGGTCAGGGAGAGCCCCTCGCCCTCCCCACGCTGCAGAGGAGGGGGAGAGCTCAGTCCGGCTCTGCTCGGGCTCACGGCAGAGCTGAGGAAGAGCAGCGGGGTTTGGAATGGTTTGGGGTGAAGGTGAGACCCCCTCAAGGTGGGAACACGGAACTGGGCACTGATGGATGCTCCTCCAGGATGGGAAAACGGAATTGTGCAGGATGGATGTCTCCTAAACTTGGGAGCACCAAACTGGGCACTGATGGATGCCCCTCCAACAGGGAACGGGGACAACAGGTCCCCAGCAGGGACACAGGGAATTGGGCACTCATGGATGGCGCTCGAACATGGACGCACCAAACTGGGCACTCCCTCCAACAGGGAACACTGAACTGGGCACTCACAGCTACTCCTCAAACTTGGGAAGACCAAACTGGGCACTCAGTGATGCCCCTCCAAGATGGGAATACCCAAATTGGGCACTCATGGATGCACCTCCAGCAGGGAACGGGGACAACAGGTCCCCAGCAGGGACACACAGAATTGGGCACGCATGGATGGCGCTCGAACATGGACACACCAAACTGGGCACTCCCTCCAACAGGGAACACTGAATTGGGCACTCACAGCTACTCCTCAAACTTGGGAAGACCAAACTGGCACTCAGTGATGCCCCTCCAAGATGGGAATACCCAAACTGGGCACTCATGGATGCACCTCCAACAGGGAACGGGGACAACAGGTCCCCAATGGGGACACATCGAACTGGGCACTCACAGATGCGCCTCTTAGATGGGAAAACTGAACTGGGCCCTGGTGGATGCCCCTAAAACTTGGGAAGACCAAGCTGGGCACTCAGTGATGCCCCTCCAAGATGGGAACACCAAACTGGGCACTCACAGATGTCCCCCAGCGCCTCAGTCGGGTCCCAGTGCTCCCGCCCAGGCCACCAGCACACCTGGGAGCTGAACCACTCTCCACCCACCCACAGCTCCCTGTGGCCACAGGGAAGGCGGAAAAGCTCCAAAACCATTTTCCCCGAAGCACTGAACAGATTTTGAGGGTAATTTTGAAATCCCCATCCCAGATGTTGGTACAGGAGTTGTGCTCAGCACTCTCTGAGCTGAGCTGGGGACAAGCCCCTTTGCAAAAAGCTCTTTGCATTCCCAGCTCAGCATTTCCCACCTGGAAAAGGAAGGAAATCCAGGGAAATCAGCCTCCTGCAGCTGCGGGGGCTCTCTGGGGCTGAGTTTGGAGCAGAGCTCGGCTGGGAAGCGGAGCTGGCCGTATCCAGCTGGAAGAGCAGGGGGAGAGAACAAGGGGGTGCATTCTCCGAGCCCCGGGCCGGCCGAGCTCCGGGCCAAAGCCAACAGCGGCCGGTCCAGCTGTGCCGGATCCGAGCGCCGCCGTGCCCGGAGCTCCCGCGGCTCTGCTCGGCCGGTTTTTGGAGATTTTGGGAGCTGCTCCCGGCGTGGATTCGGCCCCTTTTGTGTCTGGCCTGACAGACAGAGCGCTGTGCGCTCCTCCAGCCTCCTGCTCGGGTGGGTTTTAGTCTCTCGTGGGGTTTTAATGCACTTTCTGCACGTGGAGCTTGGCAGGGCCACTGAGCTGGGGGGCTCCGGGGGGCTCAGCTGGGAGGATTCCCCAAACTTTTCCATCCTTTTCTGCACGGTCTGATCCCTGTAACCAACCCCTCACCCCCATCCCTCGGCGGGGTTTAACTCACACCCCCCCAGCTGCTCCCCGGGCTTGGCCCCGGGACAGAAACTGCGGCAGAGTTCGGGATGCGAAATCCCGGCGGGCTCCGGCAGCTGCTGAGCTCCCACACAAACACAGCCACGGGAAAACGTGGCCAGGGGCACCGGCAGCACACGCTGGGATGTTCACAATCACACACCAACACACTCAAATGCACACCCAGACACTGCCAGCACACGCTGGGATGTTCACAGTCACACACAGTCACACACCAACACACCCAGATACTGCCAGCACACGCTGGGATGGTCACAGTCACACACCAACACACCCAGACACTGCCAGGGGCACAAACACACGCTCAGATGTTCACAACCTTGCACAAACACTGCCAGGGGTACAAACACACACTCAGATATTCAGAATCTGCACAAACACTGCCAGGGGTACAAACACACACTCAGATATTTAGAATCATGCACAAGCACACGCTCAGATGTTCACAACCCTGCACAAACACACGCTCAGATGTTCACAATCCTGCACAAACACTGCCAGGGGTACAAACACACACTCAGATATTTAGAACCCTGCACAAACACACACTTGGATGCTCACAGCCCTGCACAAACACTGCCAGGGGTACAAACACACACTCAGATGTTCAGAATCCTGCACAAACACTGCCAGGGGCACAAACACACACTCAGATATTTAGAATCATGCACAAACACACTCAGATGTTCACAACCTTGCACAAACACTGCCAGGGGCACAAACACATGCTCAGATGTTCACAACCTTGCACAAACACACACTTGGATGTTCACAATCACACCCAAACACTGCCAGGGGTACAAACACACACTCAGATATTTAGAACCGTGCACAAACACACTCAGATGTTCAGAACCCTGCACAAACACACTTGGATGTTCACAACCCTGCACAAACACACACTCGGATGCTCACAGCCCTGCACACACACACACTCGGATGTTCACAATCACACCCCAACACTGCCAGGGGTACAAACACACACTCAGACGCTCCCACCCTGCCCCAGCCCTCAGCCATCCATCCTCCCCCTCTCCCCGGCCACGCTCCCGGCTGCTGCCCGGGCACAGCCCCCGGCCCTGCACGCCCCCTCCTCCTTCCCCTTCCCAGCAATGCATCCCCACCCCCCCAAACTTCCAGCCAGTCCCCCATAAATGCACCCCCGGCAGCCTGCACACACCCCCACTCGTGCACACACCCCCCTTCCCCCGGGATCCCAAAGCCTTCCCCGGGATCCCAAAGCCTTCCCTGGGATCCCAAAGTCTTCCAAAATGTTCCCCAGGATCTCAAAACTTTCCTCGCGATCCTAAAGCCTTCCCTGTGACCCCACAGCCTTTATTGAGATCCCTAAACTTTCCCCGGGATCCCAAAACCTTCCCTGGGATCCCTAAGCCTTCCATGGGATCCCAAAATGTTCCCCGGGATCCCAAAACTTTCCAAGGGATCCCAAAACCTTCCTTGCGATCCCAAAGTATTCCCTGGGATCCCAAAACCTTCCAAGGGATCCCAAAGCATTCCCTGGGATCCCACAGCCTTCCAAGGGATCTCACAGCCTTCCTTGGGATCCCAAAATCTTCCTCAGGATCCCACAGCCTCCCCCACGGCCCCGCAACCTTTCTTGGGACCCCTAAATCTTTCCCGGGATCCCCATAATGTTCCCCGGGATCCCAAAACTTTCCACGGGATCCCACAGCCTTCCCCGTGACCCTGCAGCCTCTCCTGGAACCCCTAAATCTTCCCCAGGATCCCCAAACTTTCCAAGGGATCCCAAAGCGTTCCCTGGGATCCCAAAACCTTCCAAGGGACCCTGCAGCCTTCCTTGCGATCCCAAAACCTTCCAAGGGACCCTGCAGCCTTCCTTGCGATCCCAAAGCCTTCCCCGGGGTCCCACAGCCCCGACCCCCCCCTCTCCAGCCGCGCCCCCCTTTGTCCCCTCCGTGTCCCCCGTACCTGGCGGCGGGACCGGCTCGGCTCGGGGCTGCTGCGGGCGGCCGGGCCGGGGGCTGCCGGGCCGGGACATGGGTGCGGGAGCTCCGGGAGCTGCGGGAGCTGCGGGAGCCGCGGGCTCGGTGCGGGGCCCGTCCCGCCGCGCTCACCTGGGGCCCCGCGGGGCACCGCGCCCGCCCCCGCGCCCGCCCCGCATCCCCCGGCCCCGGCGATGGGGGCCGGCCGGGACGCGGGGCTGCCTCTGGGCTGGGCTTCGAGGCTTTTTCGTCGCCGATTCTTTCCAAAAATAAAAGAAAAAAAATAAAAAAATTGAAAAAAAATCAAATTAAGCAAGGAAAAAATATAAAAAAGAGGTTGGGAGCGCAAAGACGCGGCCAAGCCGCGGCCGCAGCGCTCCGGGAGCTTCTGCTGGAGGCTGGAGCGGTGCCGGGAGAGGGGAGAGGCGCGGGGCAGGCGGAGGTGGCTCCCGGGCCAGCCTCGCATTTGGGATTTCACAGCTGGGCTGCGCTCCCGCCGCTGGGCTGCGTCCCCCCGAGGAAAATGCGGGGAGAGCAGCGGGGCTGGGCCGTGCTCGGGACCCCGCGTGGGTGTTTGGACTCCTTGGGTGGGTGGTGGAGACCCCCGGGTGGGTGTTTGGATCCCTTGGGTGGGTGTTGGAGATCCCCGGGTGGGTGTTTGGACTCCTTGGGTGGGTGGTGGAGACCCCCGGGTGGGTGTTTGGATCCCTCAAGTGGGTGTTTGGATCCTTGGGTGGGTGTTGCAGACCCCCACGTGGGTGTTTGGACCCCTTGCGTGGGTGTTGGAGCCCCCCAGATGGGTGTTTAGATCCCTTGGGTGGGTGTTGGAGACCCTCAGATGGGTGTTTGGATCCCTTGGGTGGGTGGTGGAGACCCCCGGGTGGGTGTTGGAGCTGCTCAGATGGGTGCTTGGACCCCTGCAGTGGGTGTTGGAGACCCCTGGAGTGGGTGTTGGAGCCCCTTGGATGGGTGCTTGGACCCCTGGAATGGGTGTTGGAGACCCCCGGGTGGGTGTTGGGATCCCTCGAGTGGGTGTTTGGACCCCTTGGCTGGGTGTTGGAGCCCCTTGGATGGGTGCTTGGACCCCTGGAGTGGGTGTTGGAGACCTCCGGGTGGGTGTTTGATCCCTTGGGTGGGTGGTGGAGACCCCCAGGTGGGTGTTTCTATCCCTTGGGTGGGTATTTGGATCCCTCAGGTGGGTATTTGGATCCCCCGAGTGGGTGTTTGGATCCCTTGGATGGGTGTTGGAGACCCCTGGGTGGGTGTTTGGACCCCTCGGGTGGTTGTTCAGACTCCTCGGGTGGCTGTGGGAGCTCCAGCCTGCCCACTTTCCCCCACGCAGGAAAGCCAAGCGGGAACTTTCATTCCCTGACTCCCTGGCGTGCCCAGGGAACGCCTCTGCCTGCCCCAACCCCTCCGTGCCTCAGTTTCCCCAACCGGACAATGAGGTTCAGCTCCTTGGGGCAATGCCAGTGGCCGCTGGGAGCAGAGGTGACAGTGTCAGGGCCACCAGCAGCCCTGAGGACACCGAGGAGCCCGGGCTGGAGCAGCAGAGCAGCAGCAGCAGCGCATCCCGAGCAGCCCAACCCCGAGCTCAGCGCTGGCTCGGGGTCCCCTCAGGGCCCCACGAGGGTTTGTCCCCGTGCCGAGCGTCACGAGGAGCCGCTGGGATGTTTGTGGGGTTGTTTGCAATCAGCTCTTTGCTGTGTTTTCCTGCGCTCAAGAGCTGCAGGGCAGCCCGGGCCAGGCCGCAGCAGCAGCAGCAGCAGCAGCAGCAGGAATTGTCACACTGTCCTGCAGTTGGTGCGTTTTTCTCTCCCTCAACATTTTTTTCATAGAGGAGCACAGAGAAAACAATTTCTATTTCTGCTGCTTGTTTTTTCCCATGTGGGATGTGTTTGGGGAATTGTTTACCTGGGGTGAGTGCTTGGTTGGATTCTGGTGAGGATTGTTTGAGCCTGGTGGCCAATCCAATCCAATCCAATCCAACCCAACCCAATCCAATCCAATCCAATCCAATCCAATCCAATCCAATCCAATCCAATCCAACCCAATCCAACCCAATCCAATCCAATCCAATCCAATCCAACCCAACCCAATCCAACCCACCTGGGGCTGGATTCTCAGACAGGGTCACAAATTGGGAAATAGTTAGATTTAGTAGTTAGAGAAGCAGGTTTGCAGTTTTAGTATCTCCTTCAAATAGTATATTAATGCATTATAGCATAGTTATAATAAAGAAATCCTGCAGCCTTCTGAACTGAGTCAGACATCAGCATTCCTGCCCACCAGGGAATTCCCAATGCTGTCCCCCTGCCCTCCCCCCGTGCCAGGCCAGGGGTCACCCCCAGCCCCTCCGGAGCCCGGAGCCAGGGGAGAGCCCTGGGGACTCCCCAGAGGTGCCACAACCCTTCCACCACCACTGCCACAGCTCTGTCACTGTCCCCAGTGGGGTGAGGGACAAGGGGCCACCACTGCAGTGTCCACATGGGAAGTGGGAATGAGGAATCCTGGGGCACGAAGCGGGAATGGACCCTTGGGATGTGTCCTGCAGGCAGAGCTGGCACTGGGGGTGAAGCATCGGCGCCCCATGTCCTGTCCCTGGGACACCCACCCCACAAGGAGCTTCCACGGCTCCGCTCAGCTGATTTTTGGAGATTTTGGGAGCTGCTCCCAGCGTGGATTCGGCCCCTTTTGTGTCTGGCTCCTCCAGCCTCCTGCTCGGGTGGGTTTTAGTCTCACAGGGATTTTGGGCAGTTTCTGCACGTGGAGCTTGGCCAGGGGGGCTCTGGGGGGCTCAGCTGGGAGGATTCCCCAAACTTTTCCATTCTTTTCTGCACGGCCTGTTCCCCTGTAAGCCACCCAGAGCTGCAGAGCAGCCTCCAGCCCCTCCTGCTTCCAGCAGGGCTCTGCCAGCTCTCCACAGCCTTTTTTAGGGCAGCATCCAGGCACGGAGCTGGGCCGGGGCTGCGGGCGGTGCCGGCATCGCTGAGTCAGCCCCCACGGGATGCTGCCGCACCTTCCTCCCTGCTCACCTGAGCACCTTCCCCCCTGGTTACCTGAGCACCTTCCTCCCTGCTCACCTGGGCACCTTCCTCCCTGCTCACCTGAGCACCTTCCTCCCTGCTCACCTGGGCACCTTCCTCCCTGCTCACCTGGGCACCTTCCTCCCTGCTCACCTGGGCACCTTCCTCCCTGCTCACCTGCCTGCACCTTCCTCCCTGCTCACCTGCCCAAAAATTCCTCCCTGCTCACCTGGGCACCTTCCCCTCTGGTTACCTGCCTGCAAATTCCTCCCTGCTCACCTGGGCACCTTCCTCCCTGCTCACCTGGGCACCTTCTGTCCTTCTCACCTGCCCAAAAATTCCTCCCTGCTCACCTGGGCACCTTCCTTTCTGGTCACCTGGGCACCTTCCTCCCTGCTCACCTGCCCAGAAATTCCTCCCTGCTCATCTGCCTGCACTTTCCTCCCTGCTCACCTGTCCGCACCTTCCTCCCTGCTAACCTGCCCAAAAATTCCTCCCTGCTCACCTGAGCACCTTCCTCCCTGCTCACCCCTTCCTCCCTGCTCACCTGGGCACCTTCCTCCCTGCTCACCTGCCCAAGAATTCCTCCCTGTTCACCTGGGCACCTTCCTCCCTGCTCACCTGCCCAAAAATTCCCCCCTGCTCACCTGCCCAAAAATTCCTCCCTCCTCACCTGCCTGCAAATTCCCCCCTGCTCACCTGCCCGAAAATTCCCCCCTGCTCCCCTGCCCGCACAGCTGCGGGTCCAGCCCTGCCTCGGCCCGGGCAGCGCCAGGGATGCTCCCAGAGGGAGCCCAGGAGTGCTGGGATGGAGCTGGAGCAGCAGAACATGTTAGAGATAAACAGAATAAACAACCTTGAAACCAGCACAGACCAATTATGGCTTCTGCTTTGGCAGCGGGGCTGACAGACAGAGACTTTCTACAATCTCAGAGTCATCAATACCACAGATTCCGACAGCTCAGCACACAGAAAGGAGCGTGGTCCATAAAAAAAAGGATTTTTTCCCCAAAATATGATCCTCTGTGAAGAAAGGAGGATAGAAAGGAGCAGCCTGAGCAGGGCCTGGGGTGTGGGGGAACCGCCGTGTCCGATGGATCCCACAGATCGCGCCCAGCCGCGTCCTGCGCCGCGAGGAAGGCGGTGGGGCCTGGCTGGATCTGGGAAAACAAGGCCGCTCCTGTGGGGCTGTGGCTGCCCTGAGCCACATTCCCCAGCCCTGGCACCCGGCACCGCTCCCGGCTCCGCCGCCGCCGCTGCCAAAGTCAACCCAGCCTGGTTCCCGCAGCTCCCGGTGCTCCTCGCGGGGAGCAGGGGCTGGGCTCCAGCTCCCCTGGATCTGCACCCCAAAACTCCTGGATCCGTACCTCAAATCCCCAGATCTGCACCCCAAAACTCCCGGATCTGTACCTCAAATCCCCAGATCTGCACCCCAAACCCCCCCGGATCTGCACCCCAAAACTCCCAGATCCGTACCTCAAATCCCCAGATCTGCACCCCAAAAACCCCTGATCTGCACCCCAAATCCCCCCGGATCTGCACCCCAAAACCCTCAGATCTACACACCAAAATCCCCAGATCTGCACCCCCAAATCCCCCCGGATCTGCACCCCAAAACCCTCAGATCTGCACCCCAAAATGCCCAGATCTCACCCCAAAACTCCTAGATCTGCACCTCATCACCCCCAGATCTGCACCCCCAAATCCCCAGATCTACACCCCAAAACCCCCGGATCTACTCACCAAAATCCCCAGATCTGCACCCCCAAACCCCCAGATCTACACCCCAAAACCCCCAGATCTACACACTAAAACCCCCAGATCTGCACCCCATTACCCGCAGATCTGCACTCTATAACCCCTGAATCTGCACCCCAAATCCCCCCGGATCTGCTCCCCCAAATCCCCACATCTGCACCCCAAATCCCCCCAGATCTGCACCCCAAAACTCCCAGATCTGCACCTCATCACCTCCAGATCTGCATCCCATAGCCCCTGGATCTGTGCCCCAAAACTCTGGATCTGTGCCC